CTCGTCAGAACGGTACTGGCGTGATCACTGGCTGGCATGTCATTCATCTTGTACGTTTGTTTATTTTGTCTCCGTAAAAATGTTTTCGGAGGGTTGTACTGTCCTACGAACTGGCAGGACATAGATGGTAGTTAGATCAACTGCATGTTTTTAAACGCAGTATGTTTTATTAACGTACCTCGTTCGATACACCCTCCGTTTTCAGCTCGCTGATAACCGTCCGGGCAGGTGCAGGCATAGGATCGACCCTCGGCAACACAGACCTCTCCGGGACGTTCGCACTTAACGCAGTCACAAGCTCCTATAAAAAAATATAAAGCAGAAATATAACAACACAGGACAGGTTATGAATATGTCGGTAAGGGGAGGAGGCTGAAGAAGAAGGTGATTACTCACTGCAAGCGGTTTCCTTATTCATGATACTAAAGTATTTTCTTAAAATATTGACCATGCTCCTCGATTAGATGATGGAATGAACGCTTTTACAGAAGAGAATTCACGACCCTAAGTAGTCACGTTGAGATTGCTAGAAGTTTCCAGGTAGTAGGCGTGAACGGGTTCCAGTAATAAAAGTGATTTCTGTTACTACCGCAGGAAAATATTAATCTGATCCAAGATCCTAGATGGCATCGGTGGAATTCAAACCTCTGCCAGCAAGGGGAAGGCTTTAGTAAAGGCCACGTTCTAGCTACGAGGCGCTAACCGGAACATGCTTTTGATTTATTGTCTAGTAACTGAGTATGGGGATGGCGGCACTGCACGTTCATCTTAACGTCAGGAATTTTTGCTGACTGGATGCACATGTAAAGAACGAATTATGGCGTTTTACCTTCTCGATTTCGCAGTTTCTGCCCATGGCAATTTGAAGTTCTCTGAGTACTGACGCTATAAAGTCAGTTGAGGGTGACTTTTTTCAACACCAGTGGAAACGATACCTCTGTTACCTAGAGGCAAGTTTGTACGCGGTTTTGGCACTCAAAGATAAAGGTCAAGTAGGATTATGCTCCTGATTGCTTATAGTCAACGAAGAGCTCCTGGACTCTTGGCTTGAACCCTGGGGTATTTTGAGTAGAAGGCGCAAATGTCTAGTCACGCATACCATACACGCAATTGTCACTGGAAGTAAACACTCTGGATATGTTTACCATTTAGTGCTACAGTTACGACTTTTCATAGAGAAAGCAGGTTGTGAATTAAGAGGCTTT